TGGACCATCCAATTTCAGTTCAATGTGTTGCATACTTGCATCTTCTTCTATCAATGCTTAAGCATAGCAATCCCGTCTAATTTAACCGCCATTCTTCTTATGGAGTATAAACTTACAAAATTTGCACGGCATATATTTTGCCTTAATTTTACTTATCCTATATGCAGAAGACCAAGAACAAAAAAGGATTCTAAGACAAAGTGCACCTTATAGATTGAATCCTCAGATTTGGACAGTAAGGAGACTATTCTTTTTTATAAGGACGGTAAAGAGAACTATTATGATGTCACAGTGTCAACATATGAATGTTTGAAACAAAGAACAGAAAATACCACAAAACATTCAAATAACTGCACATTGGCAATTCAGATAGTCATGCAGAAGCAGAAAGTATATAAGGTAATTACAATTTTCGCAGATGTGGTATCTGAGGTGTGGCTGGAATCTGTTGGACTTGTCTTCTTCTTTGAGCTGGTTTCTGTTGCTCTGCTTTCACTTTTCCCAGCTGATACAAGTTCCAGTGAAGTTTTGTCCATTTGATGTGGTTCATGCAAGCTATCAGTAACCTGACTTATGTGATTTCCATTCATAGCCACTTCTATTCCATCGTTGCTGTTTCCAGTGGCAGCTTGATGTTTCATTGATTCTGCTAAATGAAGATCATATATTCTAGATAATCAATTCAAAAACTATGGAAGCAACGCAAAACCTGATCAAGTTGACTTCATGCTAAACCTCTACGTTCAAAATACAGAGAGACATAAATGAACAGAACCTTCAGTTAGTTGTCTTGCTTTACGAGCATCCTCGCTGCTTAAAGTGTCTGAGGTATTGGAAAGGGAAAGGCTTGAATTTTCTGAATATATGTCGCCCGGTGGTTCTTTGAGCAATGTGGATGACTCCTACCAGCATTAGTACACATGGAAAGTTAAGAACTGGTAATCGTATTGGTCAATCAAAGAGGAACGAGAAATCCTCAATTAGAATTACAATTGATACCTGAGGCAGCAAATTTAGAGGCCGGACGTCACCACCAAGTGTCTGCATCATGGAATCAGAAATTGTAACGAAAATTTTTCATATTTACACAATCAGGTCACTTAATAGGTGTTAGAAATCTGGCAAAAAAGGGTAACTAACTTGATATCACAGGTTAGACGCTTAATTAGTTTGTTCAGTTGGAATTTTTTTTTTCTTACCATTGTAAATAATGTTGACAATTTTTTGGACTTGGTTAGCTCCCTAATCATAGCATAGACACTCTGGTAGTGGAGCTAACAAGTTTAACTCTTTTTTGTAATTTTGCATCTTTCTGATGCTCTATCAATGATATTAACTTACTTCGTCAACAACTTAAAATTCCCAAAACAATAACAAGAAAAATCTTTACATTGTCAGCGCATATAACTTAAATACTTATGTGTTTGAAGAAAGATGTCGAAAGCATGAAAACAACGAAGTGGATAAAAACCAAATTGGACTTACAAAGGTGGACAGATCTTCAATGAACTCAGTCCTTGCTGCATAAACAATCACAGAATCCCAGTACATCAAACAATATCCTTGAATTTTTTTTAAAAAAAATAAATAATAAATAAAAATAGCCATTTCACAGAAAAATTAAGGGAGCTTACATGAAGGACGAGTAAAATAAGAGGAAAGAGTGTCAGTGTAGAGAACAATAGGGGCTAAAACAGTCACTAGCAATAAGAACAATACTGGCTTCCTCATTTTTATCTTCATCTCTACAGTACAAGCACCCCTTAATTCCTTCTCAGCTTAGCAGCAAATCTTCAGATCTCATTCAGCACAAATATCAATACTAAAATCCGTACTCAATTGAACCTAAATAAAATGTATGAATTAAAGTAAATTAAACACCCACTTGGGGAAATTAAAGCAAATACTTTAACAGCAAACTCAATTTCAGTATAAATCTCTATGGATTGTTGTAGAATGTATGGTTACAGTACACATACAACACTGCAAGTAGAACCAATTTATAAAATAGCAACAAAAAATGGTGGAATTAAAGAAAAGAGGAGTGCCATGAAATTAGCCTTCAAAAGCCAGAATTTGGCTGAATTTGGCTATGGTGCCTGCAGAGTGAGAGAGAGAAGGGTGTCGGTAAGCGCAATGATGTGATCCGAAGAGCAATGATAGTGGTACTCGTAAAAAATGATAAATGAGAATTAAATACTCGAGTAGATAAATAATTAAATTTACCTCACTTTATTCTACACAATTTAATTAAATTTAATTTAATATTGAATTATTACATCCGTCCTAAATTATCTGTCATGTTTCTTTTATACAGTTCTCAAGAAACATTGACTAAAAAGCACTTTTAGCTATTTTACTCTTATTTATATCTTAAGATATAATTTATTTTTATTAAATATTTATTCTATTTATGTGTCATCTATATTTTCAAAAATAATTACTAATAAGGGTAAAACGAAAAAAAAATAATTAATTTTGTTTTGAACTTCTAAAATAATAAATAATTTAAAATAACTATTTTTAGAAACTACGATAGATAATTTGAGACAGAAGCAATAGAAATAACACCAAGTAATTATTTTAAAGGATTGTTATTTAGAAATTAGTTAGTGTATATTAAATTTTAATTTTTCAATTTAAATTTTCAGGACAAATATTTTAAATTGTTGTGAAGTCAAGATACTTGCTCCACGGATGGAGTATATTGCTAAATAGTGGAGTGGTTTCTGTGATGGATATGATTTTGAACAAGCTGTCACCGTCCACACAACATTATACCCTTGTCTTTGTTGACGCATTGGTTATTTCATGATTTATTATAGTAGTAAAAAATAAGTAGGAAGAATTTCTTTCCAACCCCCCATGTTATACGAACCTTTTCAATTACCCCTATAGTCGAGGGAAAAACCCAAGAAGCCTCTTATGCACACTTAGGGCTTGTTTGGTATCAGAAATAAGGTATAATTAATTTCGAGATCAAATTTGAAATAAATTTATTTTATATTTGGTTAGGATAAAATCGCGGTCTAATTAATCCCAAAATTAGTTATCCCAGGATTGTAATGTTATTTTTATCCCTATGGGAGGATGAGATAATCAATCCTGGAATAACTTGTTTCCTAACCAAACGACCCCTTAGGATCATTTGGTAGGAGAACAAGTTATCCGAAATTATAATGACGGGATTATAATATGGGAATTAAATAGTGATGTGATTATTTAGTGGATATATTTTTATTGAGAGAAGTTTGGTGCATAGACTAAAAACGAAATACATGGAGTGTAATATAAAAATATGTTTGGTGTGTACGAGATAGATTAGGATAAATTTTTATTTTCAGTTTAAACCTTGACTTTTGTAAAGTATTTTGGGGGAAGAGCCTTGAAAACAGGCATCTTTATTATCGTAGTATTTTATTCTTGGATTAAATAATCTCGGGCTTATTATCTCACCCTCATGTGAGATAAAATAATATCACAATATGGTATAAATTAATCTCAGGATTATATTAATGTTAATTCTCCTCATTTAAACAACCAAAACTTAGATACGAATTATGTATGCATCATTGAGTGCTCATATACCCCTCCGTTCACTTTTATTTGTCACATTTTGGCTTTTCACGCTCCTTAAGAAATAATAAATGAAGTGTATAATTTACCATGATACCCACATTAATTAATATATATTTTTAATGGTTTTGAAAAAATAATTTAAAATGAGTAATTAATGTTGTGGGTATAACAAGAATGGCAAGGCTTGCTTGTTTCCTGGAGTACACTCGCATATGTATATCTATGTCATAGTTGCTTGGAAGGAAGGTCTTAGATGTACCCTGGGCATGTAAGAGATTTTCTTTCCACTATCTATGTCATACTTGGGCTTAACTAATCGTCAATTCCAAGTAGATCCTCCCTTCCTTCGCTCCACTTCGTTTCGCTCGTTTTCTCTTTTCTTCTGTCTAAAAAGAAAATTATCTTTCTCTTGATATATTAAAAGTAACAAGTAAAAGTGAATATCTATTTTTAAAATATTGGACAGTTAAAAGTGAACGGAGGGGTAGTATTTTGTGGAGGAAAGAGTGTTACATGCGTTCAAAAATAGAGATCTAACCTGATTTTCTAGATAGAGACTAAGGATATTCCTCCACTAATTGCCGCAATCATATTACAAATTAAAGGGGGGCAAAAATTGCTTAATGAAGAAGACAAATCCCCAATATATTTTTATTTTTTTGGCTGATTTGAGTCGAAGAAATGTGAAAGTTTGTAGATCAAGGATAAGAGATATTCAAGAAATCTAGTCGATCCTCGTAAAAAATGTCAAATAAAATGGATCATTTTCCAATTTCCCTCGAAATAAGTCAAAAAATGACACTTGGTAATCGCAGTGAATTGTGAGTGTTTTATTAATATTATTGCTATTGTAGTATAGTAATAGTAACATTAACCAAAACAAGCCTCAAGTACTTACAGCTCTTCAAACCCCAAGTGCAATTATTAACTTGGAATTCTCTTAAATTTGACAAATTTACGTACACTTATAGAAGAACAAAAGAAGAACGAGTCAATAACCAAATGAATATAAAAGAACAAAAATGAGATGCTATCCCTTTCTTCTTACTCTTTTTTTTGAATGAGTTATCCAATACCCTTGACCTGACTAATTCAAATTTATACTAAATAATTTATTTATGAATAAATCATTTCATACCAAAAATAAAAATCAGGACTTGAATTTGAAATTTCAGTAAAGGATGAAAGTCTCATAACCATCACACTTCTAGGGGCAGATCTAGCATAAGTTTATGGTTTCCGTCAACCCAGTAATTTTTACTCAAACTCTGTATTTGTATTAAGAAATTTACTAAATATCCATAAATATTTGACTGTGAACCCAATTATATTATTGTACATATAACTGAGGTAGTTGTAAAAATCCATAAACTTCGAATCATCAATCAGCCTCTACACACTTCCCTTTTTTTTCAAGGGTTTCATAATTGGAATTTTAACTCCTTTAACATAATGGGATTAGTCCTTTGGTGTTGCTTTGCTATGCGTCATTCATGGTGCTATGTTACCGTAGAAATTTTTTATGAAAGAAGGTGTATTTTTAACCCAACTTAAGGCGAAGAAACTTATTCAATGGTCAGCGCTAACAGCTTTGAAAGATGCTACCCCTACCAATTGCTCGCCTATGACAATGGCGAAAGAAAATGCACAATCTGTCTGATGAAATCGAGAAATTTAAATGGCTTTAAGTCTTGCCAATAATATTAACAGCGTTGCCCGAAGTACTCCAATTAAGTTCCATCTTTGGGGTCAACAAGTTGTTGGTCATCCACTTGGAATTTCAATTGCTCATCTTCAATTTTATTAATCACTTTCAGCTGATGAACATCAGACGACTGATCTGCAGCACCCATAGTCGATAGATTCTCCACGTAAAATTCGTCGAGATCGAGATCGAGGTCGAGGAGTGCATTATTATCATAAAAAAGACAAGATGAATTGGATGTAATAGTAGTGGCGATGTCTCTGTAGCTGTTTGTGGGAATTAAAAGAGTGTCCTGATCATCAAAATCGTACGAGGTAGAGCATACTCCAGTGCATGCAAATGTACTATCCAAGCATAATTCATCAATTTCTGCTCTGAAATTAACATCTTCGCCTTTTTTTAAGCCATGGAAAGTCGAAAACTCCAATTTTTCCTTTTTCATTATCATCATATGTTATTTTCATAATATTCTCCTGGCCTCCAGGGTCGTTACTATTCGTCATGTTCTCCAATTTGTAGCTAATTCCAACATCATTATCGTCATTATCTGTCGTCGTCGTCGTCATCACTTGCCTCTTCTTCATCTCTTTCTTCTCGTGATCCCATGTTTCTTTTCCTCTCTTTCTCTTCTCCGCCCTCTCCATTTCTCCTATTGCACCCCTTCTACAAAATGCAGACAAATTATTCAGATCAATATAGTATTAATGAAAGAAGAATGAATTAATAATAATAGTAATATTTTGGGGGACTTTGAGATCTTTCTTCAGAATACGCTAAGGCGATAATCAAAAGGGCAGTGTCAGCAACTGGTTCCTAGTTCCTACATATGGAACGGCAGCTCCCTAAAATACGCATTGCAAAAAGTTTAATTTGTTGTAACCTGACATGACACATTCCCGTGACTATCCAAAATTTCTTTCTTTTTTCCCTCCTTAAATTGCTCTTTTCCCTCACTCCATACATATTTGAGAGAGGAACTCTTGTTCACTACATACTTTTATCCTCCCCTCATTTTTTTTTAAAAAAAATTAATTAATTAAAGGAGGACAGTTGAAACCGAATTTCACGCTTCTTCACTACTCCAACTTTGAGCGCGTACACCTGATTTTTCGTAAGCCGTGTCAATATCTGAAGAAATTAAATGACTAAATAGTTAGAATAACAAGCCGTGTCTTTTTTATATTTATATCCAGTAGTAAAAAAGTTTGATGAAAACGTGTCACGTGACACGGCTTGGGACAAGGTGTATCCTGTTGGATTTTTTAAGCTTAAATGTAGCTTAAAAGAGGGTGAATGGGAAATGGAGGAAAATTGAAAAATATTTGAGTTTCTCTCCTTGACAAAGAGATATTGTCTCATATTGGAAGAGTAAAAGATTTTGATAGGTATATATACAATTGCACTTCTTCTAGCTCTTAAAGAGTTAAGAAGAAGGCAAGCCTCGCGCCGTCGTCCTCGGCTTCGGCTTCGGATTTGGTCAATTGATTGATTAATTTTTTGGACCAAATTTATTTGTTAATAGTAAATATTAACAGAATTGTTATTAAATATTCGGTTTTTTGTAAACGGAATATTAATATTAAATCCAAACGTAATAGTATATGCCCTTGGCTTTTTGTAAAAGACATTTACAAAACAGTTTGCACCTCTTCAACACCTCTTCAGAAGAACAGTTTGCACCTCTTCAAATCTGAAGAGTTGAAGAACAGTTTGCAC